GTGTATTTCTTTGTCTTCTGTCTAATCTGAACTTAAGATATTTACTGTTGGTATTTCTTCCTTCTAGCTGCTATGTCTTTATCGACCAATAACTCCAACAAGGTCCTCTTCCATTGTCTTCGTATTTGTCTATGGCTTTGAATGCTGCACTGTGAATACTCTCTTAGATATGCTAGTAATGCATTCCAGGGTTTTGGAAGTTTAGACTACTCTATAATAATCTTTTCATGTAAAACCCCTTTACGCTTTATTCTTCTAGAGATTTTAGGTTGTATTTCTCAGGCAAAATCTTGTCTCCTTGTTTTTCCTTTCTGCTGTTTTTGCTGTCTTCTGCGGTATTTCTGTCCGGGATAAAGATTTTGTTTTCAGGAGGTAGTGGTCGCTACCACAAGTCACTTCCCTATATGCTCTCACATCCTGGAATTTTATGTTTGACCTCTGTTTTGCGATAGTGTAGTGAATAATCGATTTTTGTTGCCGAGTTCCATTTTTTCATATTTATTATTATTTCTTTATGCCTAAAAGTAACTATTTAGGATTTTCAGGTTACTTTGTTGGCATATTGCTACGAGCCTTTCTCTATTGTTATTCGTTACATTTTCTCCGAATTTTCCAACCATCTGTCGTTGATTTTTCTTCCTGTTCGGCCATTATAGTTCCCCAGCAATATTATTTCCTTTGACGTTCCTTCTTCTATGATTTGGTCACTAAGTTGTTGATAAAATGAATCCTTCAAACAACAAGTCTCACCATTCCAATACATAATGGAAGAAACTCTTGAATTTTTCCAGGAGAATATTCACACCACACCAGAAGAGAACAGTGTTTCTGAAAGGATGAACCGAACTCTTATTATTGGAAACAGATCTTTGCTACTAAGTTCATCAATGGATTAGACTTTTTGATCGGATGATTGCGGTTTGATACACATAAGTTTGACCAAAGCTCTGAGATGTATTTTGTGCTTAAAGACATCTACAAAGAGAGCTCAAAAATAGAAAATTCTACAGTAATGTTTCATGCTAGTGTTCCAGACTAGAAGATAACAGATAATGGACGATAATCTATAGAGGGCAGATCATGCAGGTCACTCATGTCAGCTTCGCAGCACCTCGAAAATTCTTGTGCACGAGTTGGCCTTAGAATCAATTTCTCCAAAACATAATTCATGACCAAGCTTGTACTGGTCAAAAACATTTCAAAGTATGGCAAGCAAATAGAACATGTTGATTTCTGTAAAATATTTACTTCACGATATCAAATCAGGAAGAGACATCCAGACCACAGAATTGAACAGGAGAATATTATTGAGATGAGGGGTCTTCAAATCAGATATTCCCATGTGCTTGAGGCGGGAGGTATTTGATCAATGTGCTTCCAGTTCTAACATATGGAGCAGAAACAATGACTCTAACCAGAAAAGTTGTAAACGAAACCCAAGTGGCACATAGGGCAATGGAGAGATCAATGTTAAATATATCCCTCATCAGAGACAAAGTTCCAAATGATATCATCCGGGAAAGAATCGGGGTTACGAACGCAATTCAAAGAGTTACAACGCTGGAATTAAACTTTGTAGGTCATGTTACCACAGCCAGAGATGTCAGATGGACTAGGAAAATACTAGAATGAAGACCTAGACATGATGCGTATCATAACCAAGGACGTCATCCAACAAGATGGTCAGATGACATCAATTGTATTCAGCCCTCGAGCCAGCTCAACTGGATGCAAAGTGCTAAAGACCGGAGGCAGTGGAATGATTAACGATTTGCCTATATCCAGCAGTGGACACAAAACGACTGATGATGATAATGATGAATCCATAGAAGATATAAGGTCACATTTGATAAGGATTTGTTCAAAATTGGCCAATTATCTCAAATTCAAGAGATAGTCGTTGTCATTAGGGGAGGATTTACCAGGAAGGTATCAAACCTCAAGCAGAACGCTTTAGGATTCATTGAGGAATGGTGCACGAGGTAGCAACTTCGCATCAACCCCTCCAAAACAAAACTCATTTCTTTCACGAGAAAAATATATCTGGAGAACTTAATACCCCTAGTCTATTCCAAGACTTGCATGTCTCTGTATCAACGCTACACAAAAAAGTACACCGACGGCAAGTATGGAAACGATCCTGAACCTCCCACCAATTGACTTTATCGTCAAAGCTAGAATGGGGGCAAAGGCTGGACATGAGGCAATCACCAAAATGTTCACAAACCCAATTTAAACTATGGGAAGCGACTATATGATGCAGAAAAAATCCCTCGAAAAACCCTTCGCTTTCGAGATTATTCCAGTAGGTAATGCCAGAGTGACACCCAAATAAGAAATTGTCTGGTTTACTTACGGCTCCAAAACAGGAACTGAAACCGGCGCTGGATTATATGGACAAAGTTCCAAATGCGACATAAATCAACCTCTGGGAGAATACACTACTGTATTCTAAGCAGGAATATAATATGCCATCGATTCCTGTCTGAGAGAAAATCTAATTAGGGATGTTATGCTTGAGTCTATTATGTAAATAAAACACTAAGTAGGTACTAATAACTTACTAAAGACAGGTTTATTGGTTTTTCTTCTACTTTACATCCTGCAATCCTCTATAATAGGATAACACATTACCCCAATTTCCCTTGTAACTGCCACCCATGTCATTAGCTATGGGTCGATTTTTTTGCCAAACAAATTCAATCATCAAATTCATCATTTTTCAAAAGTATTCTCAGGTTGCTGGTTATGTTCGAAAGATTTGGGAGAAACTTAGACATATGTGACCATACTCAAAAATAGTTTGCAAATCTTAGAAATTTCCTTGTATAGCGTTAATCTTATCATGATCTAGTTTCAATCCTTCCTTACTTAAAATATTGTCTACATACCTTACTTCATCTAAATCAAATTTGCGCTTGTTTCCATTGAATCTCACAATTGCACTTTCTTCCCTTTCCAATACTTCTGTTAGTCTGTCTATAGTTGGGTCTGAGCCCCAGACTAATATCGTCAATGAAAACTTCTACTCTTAGCCCTTCAAAAAATTTTTTAAAGCACCTATGACCTATGGAAGACCGCTGGTGCTGACGACAGTCCATATGGCACTCTTTAATAGCAGTATCTACCCCATTTACCTTAATTGAAGGTGGTTAATAACTGGCTTTTTTCATGATGTTTAATTTGATAAAACCCTTTGAAAAAATGTTTGCTCTTATCATTCTGCTTGCGATTTCTTCAAATGTGGGCAGTTGAAAATGTTCTATAACTATTTATCTGTTGACATTTTGGGGATCCAGACTAATTCTTAGGGAATTATCTGGCTTTTTCACTACTACCATAGAGCTAACTCACACTGTTGTTGCTGTTACTTTCTTCATTACACCCATGCGCTCCATTCTATCTAACTCAATTTTCACATTTTCTTCAATATTAGTGGGCTTTTTTCTGGATGTCTCGGCAACTAGTACAGCGTTCTGCTTCAATTTTATTTTGTAAACATGGTCCAGGTCCAGCTTACCCATGAAACAAACCATCATAACAACTTGGACAAATTATCTTGGCAATGAACTGTATATATTTTCTTCAAAATATTTATGTAACCTTTCTGTTGGTAGACCTAATACCCAGGGAGCATTAAAATCAATCACTTGAAATTCACTGTACTTGGTGCCCTGATTTGTGAATCATTCAAGGCTAGTCTGACCAATTAGAGGAATATTACTGCCACCATAGTACCTTAGCTTCATGGGCTAGGTTTTACTACTGCTTCCAGTCTTTCCAAAGTATTCTTATCTATATTTACCTGTGCGCCTGTATCTAGTTTAAACTTTACTTTTTTGAGTATTCAAGTTGAATGTATGCAACCATTCCTGGCTTACAGCACAAACATTACTAGTTTCAATGTTTACTAAGCCAACCAAATTATCCTCGACATTTTTCCCACTTTCTTGATTATGACTCTCCTGATCATTCAGTTCATGTACTTCCGTGTATATTCCACACGTTTTGGCGAGGTGTCCATAACGTCTGCAGCTTGTTTTCTGTGAGCCGGACATCTATTTTGGCATATGAAAGTTACCACATTTATTGCATGGTGACTTCTGGCCACTATGTGTCTGATTTTGAGGCCTGTTTTCATACCCTTTAGTACTAGATCTTTCATTTACAATGTTCTAAACAGACGAACAGGACAATACAATAAACCGACGGCTGCAGCGTTAGGGCTACCTAACCCGACCTGTTCACTCTGCCTCCCAACTAACCAACTAGCCATCCCTCTTGTAACTGCTGCTGATTTGATTGGAAAATTAACTTGGCGAATTGAAGATTGAGAAGGTATTTCCATTGAAAATCTATGAAGACCACCAAGCTTGCATAGATCTTCTAGGAAAATGGTAGCCTATAAAACTGAAACATGTTTATATCAAATACAATTTACTTTGCGACCTGTTCGCAACAAAAATAATCTGGTGAATTTTGAAGAGTTAAATTGGAATTGTTTCTGATAAACACTGCAAGATTTTATGTTCAAAACTCATCAGATTCAGCTGTTTTATGGTAGTCAGTTGAAAACTTATCTTGTTGAATATCGTAGATATAATGATTTTTGGCTTGAGGAAGAATTGAGTAAATATCTCAAATAAATATAGTAATCTCACATACAAAAATATTTCCATTTGTATTATCTTGATGAGTTCATTATCCTTCTCTTTTTCGAGAATGAGATAAGCAGCGCTGATATCCGTATCTTGTGAATGCATTATGGACCGCTGTAAGTTTTTCTTTCCAATTTTTATGGTAATGACTGACCATAATGGTAAGCTGAGGTTTAGGTGTTGCTATACTATTTGCAAAGGCATAATTATTGGAAACACCAACGAGCTCGTGTCTGTTTTAACGGGATAATTCCTTATAGCAATATTCATCTTGTGTCTACCTCAGAAGTAAATATCTGATGATAACTTAACTAAAAATTACAAAGTTCCATTTTGTTTTAGGGTTTGTCGGTGGTAGAAGAAGTCGACCCGTCGGTCGCATCTGGAGGGCCTGCGTCGATCTTCCTTAACACTGGACGAGGAAAAAATCGCACTAGGAAGTCAGCAGCGTCTGCCGGCAGTCTCAGCGACAGCTCGTCCAGTGTCAAAAGACAGGCAAGTAAAAAAAATGAATCTCATGATACTCCCCCATAATGTTAAGGTTTAAAGTCAGGCCTAAGGTTTATTACAGCAACGCGAGATGTCAGTACTGTCGCCCCTATAGTGTGCCCTAACTTGATAGTCAAAAAAAAAATAGAAATCTGCATTTGATTAAATTGAAAAAAATATATGTCGCGTAGAATTGCAATAGTAGTTCGTAATAAAAATAACGGGAAACTTCATCTATTCGTTTTGAAATAAATAGTGAAAAACCACTTTTTTTTTCAGTTTTTGCGATATATCTTAAAAATGGCGAGTCAAATTTGCTTAAAAAAATTATGGATTAAAGTATATCAATAACCATAAAACATATATTTTTTTTGGAATTTTTGAACACAAGGTTCAAAAAATGGGGGTTGACTTTAAACCTTAAGGTAGAAATTTATATAAATTTTTTACGTAATTATATAGGTTTTAGAGTCACAATAAGGTAAAATTTAACTTAAATTTAACGCATAATGTCGTGCTCAAGTTGATGTAAATTTTTTATCACATTGATGTAAACAACATCGTGTAAAAAAGTTTTGCATTTTTGGTCCTAAAAAATTTAGATCATTCAATATTGCTTCATATAATTCAATTAATATCTCGCTGGATTATTCCACTTAAATTACTGGGGACCCACATGAGGTGTTGTCAGATTGTGCACCAATTTCCCCAATTTAGTGAAAACTCGTAATTGAAAATGTTGCACTCCATAATATTATGAATTGTAACAGTTATTATTATACCTACCAAGAATAAAAGCTATATTAGATTGTAAAAAGATTCTCGAACCACAATAAATAATTCATATTAAATTTAAGGTTTTTACGATGATTTTGGTTCTATAAAATATAAATAAATATATATATATATACCTATAGACTTTTAAATAAACAAAAATTCAGCAAATCGCCATCAGTAAAATTAAAAGCCATTGCCGGATAAAGGTTCGCAAATTTTTACGCAAGTGTTATATGCCGGTTTAATAAAAGGAAGTATAAATTTTGTGGACATTATAGTGCAAATAATTAAAAAATCATGTTGAATATAAGTAGCGTGAGTGGAAGTTTTATTGAATTGAAAAACAGGATTATTAAAATCGAACTAGAGGCTGAAGAGATCGAATTGGATGAGTTGGTAAGGATGTTTAATGTTTAGTAAAAAATTGAGCAAAAACAACATAGACAATTATTTTAGCTTCAAAATTGATTACCAAGCTTCAATAGCTTGGTAATCAACATACATCAAAAACGTACCTTACAGCAAATGAAAGCTATGAAACTATTTTGATAAAACTTGACTTGGAGAATCTATATATCTAGATATAAAAACTAAGTAACTGCACTGCAGTTGGTCATTTCATTTTAAAATATTGATCCTGAAAACGGTGTTTCCATCATCCGTATATCCATTTCCTGGGAGGTCGTTAAATATTATTTCTAAAAACAGGATATTGCTTCTAGCATGTGTGCAAAATATATCGGATATCAAATTAAAAATGCAAAAAAAAGGTCAACTTAACTTTCGAGCCTCGACATCGGCAACTTTTGAAAATACACTTTGGATTAATGTCCATGTGTTGACCTTTATAATGACGTGATAGACTTCAATGCAATGAATAAATATTGGTGAATTGTGTAATGTTCAAATCACTTTGCTAAAATTATTTTTTTGACACCATGTATATACCTAAATCCTTCAAAATACCATCTGTTAGAAATTCGTTCAAGTTTCCGTCAAAAATTAAATTTATGCTCATCTGCCCGGCGTTGTCCGAATGTGGCCCCTTATGCATTTCATTAGTTTTTACGATTCTTTTTTTGAAGAAAAGTCGGCATTGAACGTTTGAAATATCAGTTTTTAAGAGCCCTCATTAAACCATAACTGCATATGTTTTACATGTTTAATGCCAGTTTTACGTAACGAAAAGATGACGACACCCTGATTTCTCTTGAAATATTGAAAAATGATACATATAGTCTGAAATTGATCAGCTGATCAATTTTGAACCAATACTTTGAAGTTTTCCAGCCTCGGTTTTGGGACGCTTATCTTCCGCACCAGTTAATTTCAACAACTTACCTTTCCTAAAAATAGAAATGTGAGTTTAATAAGGGCCTTTGAGATACTTTCCTAAATTGCTCACAATATGAAAGCATTGGCTACAAGCGATAAAAATACCGAAAATTAACAGTTTTATTTCTGAGATGATTAACAAATTTTAATAACATTGACAAGTAGGTAGTCGAAGACAATTTTTTGATTAAAAAAATAGATCATTTTAATTCTTATCACATCATATTTGAGTTTCACGGCTTTATTATTTTTAATAAGTTGTATGAACTAAAATAGAAACACCTTTGCATCCAGTTAACTTTAAAATGTCCTATTTTTTCAGTAAATAATTTTTATTAATATTATTCTTCGGTATCTCATGGCTTTTTCTTTGGGGCTATGATTTGTCTTTCTGAGGGAATAACCGGGTACACACCGTGTGCCTAAGGCTACTCTTTCTTCATTGCTGGTCTTGTGTTTGCTGCTGGTTTCCTGTAGTGCTTTCCGTACTATATCAGCGGTGCTCTGTACAACCGCTTTCTGAAGTGTCATCAGGTTGTAAGTTCCGGAAAGTTGTTTTACCGTTTCGCAGGTGTTGTGCGATATCAATCCTGTGACGCCGATTACTACAAGGACTACTAATGTTTTCATGTTCCACAGGCGTTATATTTCCATTTGTAGTTCTTTGTATTTCAAGCGTTTCGCTGGATGATGTCCAAAGGGATTGCTACGTCTATTAGCATGCATGTGTTCTGTTTCTTATGTCCTTCACTATGATGTCAGGCTTGTTTGCTAGTATGGTTCTGCCACTTGTGTGTTCCATATTACTGTGATTTCAGGAGTGTCGATGACGGGGTCCGGGCTGTGTTTGTACCATATTTTCATGTACTCTTACTTCATACTCTTTGCAAATGTTCCAGTGCAGGTGGGCGGCCAATGTGTTACGGCGGTTCAGGTATGCTTTCTTTGCTAGGATAGGGCATCCTGACCCTATATGGTGAATGGTTTCGGAATGGGCATGGCATAAACATTTTGGGTCTATGTCTGCCTTCATTATCCTTGCCTTCATATAGTTGTTGGTGTAGCTTGCTCCTGACATGCAGTTACCAGTGCTTCGGTTTCTATTTTCAGATTTGCATGGATGAGCCACTTCCATGATGCAGCTGTGTTGATGGTTTACTATTTCGACTCCTTTGCGATTTGTCCATATAGGGCCTTTTCCCTCAACCTTGTTTTCTGTCCTCCTCTCTTGTGTTGTTTCAATCCTCCTTTGATATGTTTGACTGTTTTTGTTTCAGGTTGGTTCGGGCTGACGTTTCCGCTTTTTCGTCTTCGCTATTGTCTTTTTCCTTGTTTCGCTGTCTTTGTCGGTTCACCATGCAGATGTGCTTGTTTTTATTTTTCAGGTTGAGGTAGGCATTCAGTCCTCTCATTGCAATGGTGTAGCAGTTTTCCAGGCTTTGCATGCCTCACTCCTTCTTTACGTGGCAAGTATAACCTGTCTACGTTGGCTTTGGGGTGGAGTCCGCCGTAGATGTTGAGTAGCTTCTGGGTTTGTCTGTCCATTTTTCTGAGTTCTGCTAGCGTCCACTTGATGATGCTGAAATTGTATTGTGGCTGTCTGTAGACTGCTAGGGTTGTCATGGCAGAGCTCTTGTTTTTGGCGTTAAATTCGGTCTTGCTTTTGTAGTATTCCTTTTCCAGTTTCACTTTCATCTTCTTGTGCTGTATTCCGTCGTTCTCGTCAGTTCCCAGGTACTTGTACACTTCGTGTTGTTCTAATACCTTGATTCTAGTGTTCTCGTCTAGTACTATGTATTCCTTAGTTTGTAGCTTTTCTTTAGTAAATGTAGCCTTTGCGCATCTATCTAGTCCAAATTTGCATCTGTATGTTTCTGCTGAATTCGTGTACCTACGTTTTCTAGTTGTTGCGTTATTTCGTGTTCGCTCTTATAGTCCTGGAGCCCGTGTACAAAAGTGCAGCGATTATCGGGCAGATTCTTTATATTTTTATTCGATGGCACCCACATTGTGCATGTGCGTTTGGGGTGTCAGCTGGCTAGGTGGCGGTGGAGGTATTTGCTAAGGGGTTGCAAACACATCAATAAAATCGTGGCGGGAATCACTCCCGGGCAGCACGAAACTTTAATGAACGGTAGCTTATGTTCCATAATGGACATCGAACATTGTCAGCTAGCCGGGGGGTGGTGGGGTACACTTGGCCAAACATAAAACTGGTACGCATTTTCCTATTGTGCTGTATTGTGTAAATCGACCTTTTTTATCACCTCAACAATGACAAAAAGAGTCGTCATTGTCATATTTAAACCAATCATAACATAAAAACATGTTGCATTTACTTTTGTTCAGCTTTGACATTGACAAAAACTGTTTAGTCTATGTTTTTCAGAAGAGACTTTTTGCTGTTAAGCCTGACTCACACTGGGCAAATTTAAAATATATATTTTGCCTGTACCAGTTTTATGTTTGGCCAAGTGTACTTGTCAGCTAGGGGTGCGAATGAGCCCGAAAATGCGAATTTTCAAAACGATGACGGGCAACTTGAAATTTGGGTGGATCCTAATATTTCATATATGATTCACGGAAAAAAGAGTTAGCTGCTCATATGTCGGTGGAATAGTTGTCAGCTGGGGTCACAAAAGGTTCCGAGCGTAGACGCGCTGTTAGCTGCTGCGCACAATTATTCATGCCTCAGCTTACAATTTTTTCACCAACATACGAGCAGCTGATACTTTTTTTCGTGAATCATATATAAAATATTAGTAGGTACCCAATTAGATTAAAATTTTCCCGAAATCATTTTTGACGATTTATCATGAAAACAAGCATGGAGCAATCTCGACTTAACAACTTCAGTTCTATATAATCCGAAATTCATTCAACAATGGGTATCT